ATATGTGTGTGTGTGTAATAAAATAATTTACCATTCTGCATACTTTTATTATACACTAATTAAAAATGTATTAAAGTAATAACACATCCCCTGACAAATTTAGTATCAGCTTCTTAAATTTGCCATTGTTGTGATCATGACACGTATAAACCATCGAATTATGATGTATTTATTTGCGAGACTAAGACCACTTACTGTCCACCCTCAACTTCACTGGTTCCCAGTGATGACATCATATCTCAATTTTTTCCCCACTACACGTTATATATGGTTTGTTCCGGGTGAAACTAAACCTGTTTAATATGATCTGTTCAGGCAATAATTTAAACTTTCACTATTAAATAGGTTACAAAGAGCTGATACTACACGAAAGAGATCAAGGTGATCAGTCCAACAACCGCAAGTTTGTTTTTTAGCGCCACCGACGCAGAACCAGTTTCTCGCGTATACCCGGAGAACAACGATATCATATACATGGTCAAGTGATGTAAAACTGCCAACTAAACGCTTTTTTTGTTTTTGAGTTGAATTTCTTGAATTAAAAATGCCTTCTTATATGTTTGCTTGCACAATGTTTTAGATAACGAGTGGTTTAGCCTTAACGTTTTCCGAGTGCACAGTCAAAACTTTGGTAAATGAATGGAGCTCTTTCCTTAACTCTAGGGCTAATTTTACACGTGTAATTAAGAATTATCCGAAAATCTTACAAAAAAAAAACAAAATCAAGCAATTGAAAATGAGCAACATTAATGATTGTCAATAGGAAATTAACATTTCGTGAAAAATAAAAACTACAAGCTAATACATATGTTATTATATTTTCAATACACTTTGTTTTCAAGGAGGAGGAGTTGTACATACTACATCGTTAAAACGGAGGTTAAACCATTTCAGTTTGCCGAAAATCCAAGTTACCACATCACAGGAAAATAGTTCACAAATCAGCAACTACACGTTACATAATGCATGCATTTCAAAAAGGCCTGTTATCAATGAATGCCATCACCAGGTACACGTACATCTCTTTATCGATGAGACTTTAGAAATACTACAAATAAATTATCGAATCACACTTACAGGATTAATGAGTCATTTGTACAGATGTAAACAATATCAACATCCTGTTAACTGCCACGTGTTACTTGAATCATCCATCGATAAATGTAATTGTTGTGACACCGCTTTACTTGTCCTACAAAGCTCGTACATATGTTTTTTTTTCTTCTCACGAGTCAAAACATTGAACACACAAATAGTGTCCTAATAGGTACTAATCAAATCTGTCAGTGCCACTAATGTATGTCAGTAACAGGGTGAGCCAGACGTAGCTGACGATGCTAAATTAATTAGAATATTAACTTCACAAACAAAGCCATCAACTTGAGCTGATTTCGACACCACTATAGACTTAATACAGAAATGTTGAAACCAGCCTAACGTTAATAACAGAACTGACACACAGAGACCCATATACGGTGATAATAACAGAACTGACACATAGAGTTAGACCTAATATAGAAATGTTGAAACCAGCCTAACGTTAATAATAACAGAGCTGACACACGGAGACCCATATACGGTGATAATAACAGAACTGACACATAGAGTTAGACCTAATATAGAAATGTTGAAACCAGCCTAACATTAATAATAACAGAGCTGACACACAGAGACCCATATACGGTGATAATAACAGAACTGACACATAGAGATAGACCTAATATAGAAATGTTGAAACCAACATCAACGAAAATATAAATTACAAGCAAGGTTACACAAACAAAAAAAAAATAATAGTGGAAACTGTAAATTCATCACACTACAGATAAATCTTACCCACCACAGAATCACGAAAAATCGAGCTTCTTCGCCTTCTTAACATGATATCTGTATATAGCACGAGGGTTACAGGATTCCTAAATAGGGTTTTACTGCACCTTTGTAACGATACACACAGAAATAACGCATCCAATGCAACACCTAAAACAAGGCAACTGAGTGGTAAATAGTAGGTTTAACAATATATTATCTGAAATGAGTAAACAATGGATTGAAAATAACTGTTTCTTGGTACACACACAAAACGACAGGCTCTGTCAGAGTTCACTACA